ACTTCAACCCTTCCTTACTCGAAAAGATTATTTATTTTAATTTCTTTCTATAGAAAAGAGATATCCTTTTCAAAGTCAATATTAGCAATTTGTCAAAAGAAGATGTTGCTATTCTTTATAATATTATCTTCAAATATAGGGATAAGGATACCACCTATATTTACACTAATACCTTCTCTACTGAAAAAGGAATTAGCATCGGAATAGGCATAATGGCTATACAATCAAATAATCAAATTCTATATCAAGAGCAAAGCAATATTGATACTAATCAACTAATATATAATGAAGAGCTCTTTGGAGTTACAAAAACTATCGAATATGCTAATTCTATTACTTGCAATAATCAAAAGTTCAAGATCTATTCAAACAATCAAACTAATCTATACCACCTAAAAACTCCTTCAGATTATCCAGGACAAGTTTACCAAATAAGAGTAATCAATACAGTAAAGGTTATTAAAGTAAAAGGAGCTGAAATCTCACTAAATTGAATTCCTAACCACACCTCAATTGAAGGAAATAAGCTAGCAAATAAACTAGCCAAAAAAGCAATTATAATATAATCTATTTCGAACAAAATAAGCTTTAAATTATTAAATATAATTATTAAGAAATATACTTCAAATCAATAACTTGATACCCTCAATCAATACAAACTCAGATCAAACCAATTCCTATCAACTTACTCGAAACTATTTCCTTAGAAAATAGATTCGAAAATCAAACTACCAAACAAAACCAATCGAAACACTACCAACACATTCTTTCAACTCAAATTAAATCATGGATATATCAAATCCTATTTATATCGCTTCAAACTTTCCAATAACAAATATATATATAATAATATCGAGGCATCACAACACCTCCTTATTAGCTGCCCCATATATAAAACTAAAAGAAAAGAAATCTTTAAGGAGATACCTTTATCCAAAATCACTATACAATTTTTACTTTATATCAAAATTGGTATCGAATTAGCCATCAAATTTATCAATATCATCAAAATAGCTATAAGGACATGGTATCTGGCTAGAGCTTTGATACAAAACGAAACAGAAGAAAGAGAGGTAGTAGAAGAAAAAGAAGATACAATAATAAAAGGAGAAAGAGTTATTACAGAAATGGAAGGAATAATAGTTGAAGAAAAAGAAGAAAAAGGGAAAAGTCTTTTGCTAATTTCTTGAATATTATACTTTCTTTTCCTTATTATATGCAATACATATAATAAACAGGCACTAGTCTTTAACATTTGTTTTTATTTCCCTAAATCAAATATATCCATTTTGTAAAATAAAAAGTTACCTGCTAGAGCCTCTAGAGGCCTAGCTGTCCTATATAGTCTTAGACTGAACGTGGATGTAAATGAAATCAATCAATCAATCACCTATAGGGCCTACCGAAGGAAGTCCAACGAGACATGTGTGAGAAGATGAGGACTCTAAGTCATAAATGAGATGATTACTCAAGAGCTTGCATTGCTATAGGAATTTCATCCCAAAGTGTCTTGAAATTACAAAGTGTAGTGCATGATATTCAGATCATATACAAGATTTTAATGGGTGTGAAACATATATAAGATTGAAAGTAATCTTACGTGATGCATGTCGGCAGGCAGTGCTGGTAAGAAATAAGGTCATCTACGTGGAATAGCATGCACGTAAGACTCCACTTCACTCAAACTAAGCTGTTTGTCTGAAATTCAAATGATTTCCTATTTTCTGGCTTCTTTCAGTGATATCGGCTTAGTAATAAGAGTGTTTTCTTCCTGCTCCTTGATACTCGAGACTAGAGAAAATGAGACCAAGATAACATTAGATCAACGCTCGAGAGTTCACCGAACCATCAAACCCAAGTCAGAAGGTTTGTAAGTACTGAAATGCATAATATAAGATAGAAAGAAAGACCATCAAGCGATCATGCCTGCACTTTCTTCTCTCGCCTAGTATCAGATGAAACTGCAATAGATTTTGGAAGAGGGTACGACAACCCTTGCTAATCATTCAAAAGCGTATTTCTAGCCCTGATTTCATTCAAATGAATCAATAATAGTTACCACTAAATGTTGCTGTACTGGGTATTGGCAACTTGAACCAACTCAGAAACATGCTAATACTTAAGCTTAACTCCTTCGTCTTCTCGCAAACGATATCCTTTCCCATCTTTATCATAACAAAAATATCATCAATCTTGTCCCCATCAATTCAAATTCTCAAAGAAATATCGGGATTATCAAATACGTTTAATCTTCACGATGCCTCTAGCCAAAAAGAGAAAGCTTGACCGAGAAGAAAAAGGACCAGCTTCCCCAACCGTCCATACCTTCCATTTGCCTGGTCATAAAGTCGACGTTAAACTGAGTATTTTTGATGGATTGCAGCTCCATGTTCACTCGGTGATTTTGAAGCTCCATAGTGCTTTCTTCCGAAGGTTTCTAGATCCACCCGGCAAGGATAATAAAGATGAGAACACTGGAAGTTTCAAATATGAATGGGCAACAGTCTACGACGATGATGGAAGCTGGAGTTTGTTTGACACCAGGAATATAAAAGTAGGTTTTTGGAATTTCATGAATGGACCAGCTGACTGAAGTTTCACACGTAGCATGACAACCCAAGCTCAAATTTGATGCCGAAACAGATTAAACGTTCCCAAAAACTACATGAAACAGCGTTCATAAACTTCATTGGGACGTTCTACGGGAAGTTATGGGTAATCAAAAATACCGAGGCTTTGCAGCTGGTCACCGAATTGGCCGATTATTATTGCGCTCTTCCAGCTGTTTCAAAATCGATGCATGGAGCCTTTTCCATAAGCCCTGACTTCTGCACAGGAATTTTCTTTAGCAATAAATCGACTTTGCTCGATTTAGCATTGAAATTACGTTCTCCTGAGCTCTTTCGGGAATGCATGATATGCTTGGTTGGAAGGTGGCAAGACAGCACCCACGAATCTCCGATTAAAAGTCAACCTGAGATGCTGTATAACCCAAAACTTGCAAACCCGAAGCTAAACGAGTTAGCTATCAAGTTACATCGCCAAATATGTATCAAAATATCTGCGGCGCAACGAAAAATTGTTTCCTGCTGTCAAGTCAACTCAAATGCTCTAGAAATCAAGGCCAAAATCGAAAAATGTTATCTCGAGAGAATGAAGTTGAGAGAGGGTGAAGAAGGGGTCTACCGTGGCCAAGTTTCACTCCCTGAATATTTTCAGGCGTTTGGAGAAGAGTCTTCGGGAATTTTTGCGCTAGCTGTTAGTGACATATTGAAGAACGAACTTATCTTCAACAAGTCTCTACGGGCTGGAGATATTCTATTTCCTGTAAAGACACATAACGATTTTCAGTCATATTTTCTGTGTGCAGAGATTAAGGACGAAGATCTACCGGTAAGCAATTTTATCACTTCCTGAGGAAACTTTTAATAGGCCCGTATAACCTTCTTTCGTCCGAGAACTGGGATGATGTTACATTTTGGAGGTATTTGAAACACTAACATTATGATACTAGTGGGATCTCAACAGAACCAATTGGTGAGAAACGGTTTCGATGGGGCTGCAATCATGTTAAGCGTATCGCGTTGAAAGGGCCCGATTGAGCTGGCTTTTTTGTTTTACGGCCGTGTTTGTACTGAGAATAACAAGGCCCGATCACAGTTTGCTCATTGAAGTGTTGATATTAGGTAGCTGTGCTCGCAAAAATACATGACCTCTACACGCAGAAGCTTTCGCAGATTGTGATAGTTGTTAGATAATAGACAGGGGTGTTGCTCTTTTCACTGAATGCTTGCTCATACAAACGATCATGGAGCTCATACTCTTGTTAATTAAGACGAGAAAGCAATCAAAGATATAATTATGCAAAACAAGCCGCAAAAACAATTTGCGTGGTCGAAATTTACACAAGTGCTCTCCTGGTGCCCAAATCTGTGATGAAGATGTCGGGACATTCCAATCCTGTTCAGATATCAATTATCAATCAAGTTTGTGTGCGGATGACAGTCATGCTTTCAGCGTTGCGGTCTTCGCAAGCTTCTGTTGACTGTAGATGCTGGCTGCTGAAGTGCAAGTGATGATCAACTGCTCAGGAAAGAAATCTTTTGACGAATTAGACAGACAAGCATTGCAGAGATCCCAAGACTGGACGATAGATAGTTGATTGCTTTGATATCAGATTAAATGTCATCTGATCTCCTGGCATCTACATGCTCAATATTACAAATGGGGAGATATTTCCCTTAGAGACCCGGGAATTAAAAGAATCCATATACGCTTATGTCCCCATATGCACGCATCGGTATTGGATTCACTTGCATTTTGGTGAATTTTTATATTGAAAAATTTAAATAGTGAATTTGTTTTGGGAATGCGATCTTGTGTGTGGAGTGCCGTGAAAGGAAAGAAGTTAGACTAAATTGATATTATATTTTTAGCAAAGGTTCAGAGAAATGGGAAGCCGTCTGCATCTACCCCATTCGTGATCATGGTCAAAAACTTTGCTGCAGGGTATATACCATAACGCCGATATTTATAAGGGTAGCCTCCCTAGCAGAGGCACTGGTGGCATGAAATTCAGAGTCAGAAGCATGGAGGTGCAATTCTTCCTTACTGCTCTCTGACACGAGTAAATATATAGCGATGATTTTTCAACAACACCTAAAGCGATAATGAACACGAGTGGAATATGTAACATCCGAATCCGCAATCTGGGGAGGGGGGTGGGAGACAATTATTATTAATGAATGTCTACTGAACAATTAGAATAATACAGTAACTGAGAGGACACCTTATACGCTGGTTTATTAACAGGAGCCGTAAGTCCCCGCCACGTCGGCTAAATTAGCGAAACTAGCGCCCCTAGATTTCTTACTTAATTTCCTCTTCCTCTTCTTCAAGACTTTTACTTTCAAACATCTCATACTCATAGTCTTTACTTCCGAATTCAAAAATCCTAGCAGCAGCGAATTCATACCATTATAATTTCAACAGCAGCAAATATGGATCAAACACATAGACTATCCCCAAAGCTTAAGGTGTTCTCACTGCCCGACCAGACACCTGATACCAAATTTGTTCTGTTCGGTGAAACAGAAATTCACCTACATTCTACAGTTCTGAAACTGCACTCAGCATTCTTCCGAAAGTTTCTTGACTCTCCAGACAAAAAGCCTGCAGAGCCGTCAGCAGAATTCCGTTACGAATGGGTCAGTGAGATTGAGGAGGATGGCGAATGGCACATGGCTGAGAAATCCCACGCGGTAGGTTCACTAATTCTTCATGATTATTTGGTTTTGAATGACAAATAACCTTGACCATAATGCAGAAGCCAAATGATAATGTCTTGTCGGAAAATACAATCTGGGATATGGAGGTCCTGGTCTTCATTGAGATGCTCAACGCACTATACCGTATTCCATATAAGATCTGGGTGGCCCGACTGTTCATTGTCACCAAGATGGCAGACTACTATTGTTGCCTTCCTGCAGTCTCACACAATCTCTTCGCTTGTTTCGATCAAAACGATAACGAATATGTCGCAGAAAATGCCGTCCGCCTTATTAATATTGCCTACAAGCTTCGTCAACCCCTTCTGTTCAAAGATTGCCTCATTCACGTTGCTGGTTATATGCCTCCTGACTCCAGGAACGCTCATCATGTGTGCAACAGAGTGATCTATGATGTCATGATGATAGTACGTAATGAGATCAATCGACGAGTAGTCGAAGCCCAGCAACGTCTCATGCTATCCACACCTAGCGAGGAACGCTCGAGACTTCTAGGCCATTGTTGGGAGGTTGGCTTTGAGGAAACACAAGGACAACTGAGCTTGCCTTGCTACTTCAGAATTCTGGCGGAGCACGATAGCGAATTTGCCAGCACCCTGTCTGACGTGCTCCATTGCGAGTTACGTTTACCGGAAGGAATCAAGCACGAAGCGGGTGCCCGTGTTCTCAATGATACCGATAACTTTTATTGTGCAAGATTATTGGACAGAGATCTACCAGTACGTAACACCGATTCTCTTGATTTGAGTATATTTTTCTCTCAAAATACTGACGCATATCTACTTAGTGGGACCTCACTGAGACCGACTGGTAAACAACGCATATTGCTCATCTCAAAGACATGTTGCGTGTACTTATCATCCATCCATCTAATTTTACTGCGGAGAACATATTTCAATCATCACATCGAAGGCAATACCAATCAACAAATATACCGTAAGGTTACAGACGCGCAGTCTACAACGGAGCATTACTCTTCGAAGATATCCTGCTATGGTATGTGGGAAAGACAACAACAGTGCGCTCATTTCGCAGAGTGTCGACTCATTTTGGCTGTTCACCGCGTATCTTAAGAAATGCAAAATATCACGTACATAGTAGCTAGTATAAATAGCAATACCAGATATTGTATACCTTGAAAGTTCTTCCGTAATGTTCTTCCGTTAATTGAGATTGTGAACTTGAAGTTTTACTTGAACTTAAGGTATGCTGTTCCAGATGCACTCCCAAGTAGGCCGTGAGATAGGTATCCGCAGAGCAGATGAAGAGTCTTGCAGATACTTTGTAGACATCTTGTGAATAGTTTGTATGATTTCTGCGATCTTAACAATCTTAACAATGATGCTGTCGAATACCTAGATTGTAGTAAAAAGCAAATGACAGATGGGTATTGTATATTGTATTAGTCATGTGATACACTAATAGTGAATAAGGATTTGGATACGCGAGTACCAAAGAGGTCACCGCTGCCGCCATATCAACCACACTAAGGTTTTCGTTTTCAATTTCTCTTCGCCTCGTTTTCCAAAGATCAACCAGCAAAGAACAAAAATGGCAGGAGCTGCTCTATCTGATGGAGGCTCAGCACCCCAGATGCAGATCAAGAAGTATGTCGTCCTGGGCCAACTTCCAGATACCCGATTTCGTCTTTTCGAAAAGATTGAAATTCATGCCCATTCACCTTTACTCAAAATGCATTCTGCCTTCTTTCGAAAATTCATGGATTCTCCAGATAAGGTACCTTCAAGAGCTGGAGCGGCCTTTGTATATGAGTGGGTCGATGAGGTCGATGATGATGGCTCTGGATGGCATGTCGTTGCTGATAGTAACGTATGAAGTTCAAATATTATCTGCCCTCTTATACATAGTACAAAATCTAACTGGGGCGAATCCAGAAAAAAAGTTCAAACAAATTATCGGAAGGCATTTCAGAGCCAGCGACGGAAGTCTTTGTCAGCATGCTTAATTGCATTTATCGCATACCGTTTGAGATTGATTCAGAGCAATTGATCGAACTCACAAAGCTTGCAGATTACTATCGTTTTTTACCAGCAGTGTCAAATAATTTGTATGCTTGTTTCTATATGAGCCCTAAATTTGATATTTACAGAGCACGCAATCTCATCGAGTCGGCGTACAAACTTCGTCAGCCATTATTGTTCAGGGACTGTATTGTCTTCATTGCTGGTACTATGCAACAAATGTCTCAGTTCCTGTACCAGGACAAGAGTTCCAGTATGCAACAGGCTCTGCAACAGGCACTGATGACTGTACGGAACAAAATCTTCGAAATTCATCTAGAAGCCCAAGAAGCAGTGTATACGAGGGCTGGTCAAAGTACTGAGTTGTTCAAGACGATGAAGGAGGTTAGCGTCAAAGTACTGGAACAAGATTTCTTTAACCAGCCATGTTTCTATAGGAAGCTGGTTGATCGGGAAGAGGAATTTTCAGAAGACTTAAAGGAGGTGCTTTCCGGAAAGTTGCAGCTGGATAGTTCAGCCATGGCGGGAATCGGCTATTACGGCGATCATTTTTTCTGCGCAAGTTTGAGCGACGAGGAACTACCAGTAAGCTTGCTTAAACTTTTACTCTTAATATTTCACCATCTTTACATTAATACTCATGACTTGTTTTATACTAATATTAATCTTGTAGTGGGATGCTACCGAAACCGACTGGTAGCTGTTTGTCACTCGATCGCAATGATTGATCAAGATTCCTCCACACTTTCTCCCTTGACCTTTGCACCCGTCAGATCTACTGCAAGACTTGTTCATTCCAACCCTGAGCATCCCGAAATTCTGTGGCACATAGTTTTCTTGAAGCCATTTACCAGTCGGCGGTTTTCTACAAGCGTTACATGAGTGGCCTTAGTAGTCGGCAGTGGTGATGGTGGTGACTAAATAGATAAGGTCAATTTCGAAAGCTTCACATGTTTCATTTCGTTAATATGGGTTTGGGATAATCTGGTTCCAGCAGGTACCATAAAGCTTGCACGTACCTGTTCAACTTCCATTAAAGAGTCTTGATCCAATCTTTTTCTTCTCACTCGATGACCATATTTGTGAAGTTCCTTACCATCGTGAAAATACTCATGCATTTATTCCATGAATTGCATCAACCAAATAAGACGGGTAAGTTGATCAGTAGTCATACTCAAAGGCCTTCCTTGTGTGATATGTAGTCTGAAGAGAAGTGATTATCTACCGCTTAACTCTAACTGTAGTTAGTCTTTGATTAGATAGATACACACGCGGAGAAACCGAATAGTCCACTCAAACAATTTTTCTGATATACTTCACTCAAGGTATAGTTACTGGTCATTCTGATGTATTCAAACGCTGATCTCCTGTAGTGTAACCATAACAAGGCTCGCTGCACCTCTCCCATGTGCTAACGTGTCATCAACACGTGATGTACCCAATGAGGATGGGTTTCCAAGGATTCCTCCGGACACCTGCATTTCCCCGCCTAACGACATCTCATCACTTTAAGCACTTTCATTCTTACCTTCAAATCTTCCTTATATCTTCGTTTTTTCATTTTAGCTGGTGAAGTGAGATATTCAAGGTGTCGTTCTCAAACATTCATACCATATTCATACATTAGCCAAAGCTTCCGGAAATCTTTTGGAAATAGAACGTCGCGCAACCGCGTCAAAATCAGCTCATCGGCTCTGGACGACAATCTATGCTGTCTATTTAACTGTCTCGAATCACCTATTACCTACATTCAAAGCGTACATCTAGTCAGACCCAAGCATGCCTTCTCCCCAAGTTGTGACATTTTCCTTACCGGGACAAAAGCCCGACACTCGGATCACCATTTTTCAGCTCAAAGAATTGCGAGTTCACTCTAGTATTCTGAAGCTATATTCCGCGTACTTCCGGAAGTTTATGGACTCTCCTGACAAGGAACCGGCTCCTCCCAGCGCAATGTGGAAATATGATTGGACTGCAAAGGTTGAGGAAGATGGTAGCTGGTATGTTGTTGAAAGAAAAGGTCAGGAATTCAAGGTCAGTCTGATTTACTGGCGGCTTGACATATGGTAGTGAAGATGATAGATTGTTGAAAGGGTTTCGAACAAAGTCCTGTTTGCATGTGCAATCATGAGATTAACCTTACTGGAATCACCCCAGTGGATTGAATCCTTGAAATCATTTGGGTCTCCAAACACATTTCAGTCTTCCATTTATCATTTGTAATGTCGAAGAGGATCGCCGTATTGCAATATCTTCGACATGACTCCGAGAGTGTGCCATACATAGTTCAGACATTAACTGTGATGGTTATTTGTATCCAATATTCTGACACATGCTACAGAAGCAACGAGGTGCAACTAGTTGTGGTGATCTGGATATTATGGCCTTTGAAAATATCATCATGAGCATGTACCAAAAGCCTTACGAAATTACAAGCACAGAGCATCTGCAAGAGATTACAACCTTGGCCGATTTCTACCGTTGTCTACCCGTGGTGTCAAATTCTCTCTACTCAGCTTTCTTCCGCAGCCCGAAGTTTCTTGCCAGTATAAACGATCATAGGGAGATGTTGCTAGAATTGTCATGTAAACTAAGACATCGCGAACTTTTCAACGACTGTCTCGTTCTGATTTCTGGGTATTGGCCTCCCAACCAGCTACCATTCAAGACAAAAATAGAGGATAAAAGACTTGCAACGCTGGCTGAGAACTTACATAACAGAGTGGGGACAACCCTCGCGAGAAGTATACAGAACGTACTTATGAAAAAATCCGCGCTAGAAGCTGGAAAAATTCTAAATGCTGCGGCATCGGTATTAGATACCACCAAAGGCTCACTTGTACAATACCACGTGAGACTACAGAAACTTCTTTACCTCTCGGATATCCTAGATGATATCACCAAGAACAACCTCAAGTTGAATACTTCTGCAGTAGCTGGACAGGGGGAATATATTAACAACTTTCTTTACATTGAATTGAAGGAGGAAGATATTCCTGTAAGTTTTGAGTGTTAACAGGCATTGATTCCATATCCAAAAGCAGGGCTGATATGTTACTAGTGGGATACAACTGAGACTGACTGGTAAGACCGCAAGAATATGGGTAGGATTTCAATACTCTAGATTGTAGTCCGACCATGAAGTGTTCCTAGTCCTTGACTTTCGTCCACACAATGAAACCATCCTTACACCAAATGCATCCGGAATATTCAATTCACCTCATTCATCGAAGTTTTATTTCTCGTTTGCAACTTCTAAACAGCCGTTTCTCTTTCTTTCTTTTTTGGGTTAACACTTTCTATCCCGACCGTTGCAACTCTAGGCGTGGCCAAAGGCACAGGACTTGTAGCGACAATGCTTGATATTCCACACACGACTTTACGGTTGAATCATCACAATTAAACAAATAAGAAGACACACTGGTGGCTCAATTATTCCTGAATGCGCAACTTTTCATACAACAATAACAACACAATTTCATTAATTAACCAACTTCGCTAATTGGTAGCACCCCTCAACGCCATCGCCCCCAGAACCATGACCTCTAATTCTTTCCTCTCATCCACTTTGCTCTCGATTTTCCCATTCACACCATTCGCACCACCTTTCTTACCACCGCCACCGCCAGTGACATTCAACTTATAAAGTTTCTTCACTCTCGCAATATCCACCATACTCGCTAAAGACTCATCATCAAATGAAACAGGTTCGCCTTCAACTACAGACGAAAGATGTTCCGAGATTTGAGATGCGGAGGATGCGGGTGCTACTTTGACGACAAGGAGAGAAGTGGTGGTTGGGGTTATACCGAAGCGACGGAAAGATTCTGCGATCTTAGGGGGTGTTAGTTTATTCGTTTGGGAATTTTGTTGAATATGATGGCGATAGGAGTGATCAAAGTGCGTAATAAATGTCATTTCATATGATTCAGTGTACCTTGAAACGTGACCATGTATCGATTGAGTGTGTATCAAAGAGAAGAAGAATACAGAATAGGAGGGGGAAAGCAGAAGCGAACATACATTATTATTCATACTCAGCGAGAAAACAATCTCCGAATGAATATTTCGACTCTTTAATCTTTCTTCCAATGCATCATTTATAGCCCTATACGCTGCTGCTAAAATATGTAATTTCGAAAGTACCTACCCACCCTCAAAATTTGAAGTTAGTCACGTGATAATATAAAAATGAATCTGATGGTGGGGCAATGGAGGGGTAATGAGTAATTTGAGATGGTGGAAAGAGGAGGGGGAAGAAGGCGAGAACGTACAACGCTCGCATCGATAAAGGCATATTCGAAATCTGTATTTCCGGTAAGAAGTTGTTGGTGGAGGAAAGAGGCATTGGTGATGTTGCGGTATAAGGCGATGTGGAGGGTGTGCGATTCGGGGAGATGTTCTAGGGGGATGGTTTGGAGAAGTGCAGGCGCCATGGTTGGGGTTTGAGGTGTGAGAGATGTGGGAGTTTCTGTTGTGATCTGGAGGAAGCGTGATTGAGGATTTGTTGTTTGGTTGGCTGATATTTGATCTTGGTCGTAGGCGCGTGGAGATGGTGAGTTTTCGTGATGTTACTGGGGAAATGTGATGAGTCACGTGATATTGACACAATCTGGAATTTGACACAGGCAATGGTGTTGTGATGGTTCTACCTGGTGGCATTTGACTAGATGTACGAGAGATATATAAGAACTTTAATATTATGTCAATGATTTTCACAATTGTCTTATTTCCACACGGCTTTTTATTGTTCGCTTTGTTACGACTGAGGAACTTGGCTTGGCTCGAGCTTGAGTTTCCAAATCTACGATTCATCGCAGTGAGCAGAAGAACATTTTTGAGAAACCAAGGAAATCATTGATATCTTTGTTTTAGCTCTCTGTTCTAAAACTTTCAAGAGAGAAGCATTTTCAATACGAAAATAGACGGCCGCAAATGCATTGTAATTGGATGACTATCAACGAAGCGTTTCTTGGCTCAAAGGTTATTTTCGCGCTCCTCGCTAAAGGTGGGGTTTTCCCATCCATACAGAGTGCCCGGCGACCTTTCGAATCCCGATAGTCAAGGTCTTTCTCTTCTAAATTTGTTAGGAAAGATGACGGTTCCAGAACCAGCCAAGATCTTCCTTTGTGATACCTCAATCACAGGAGACCAATGTGCCAAGCCATTCCTGAGCTGATATCTTGAGACTCTCGTCGTTGTACTTTTTCAATGTTTGGGGATGTGGGGGACAAAGAAAAAGCCACGTGTAAGCCATGTTTTTCAAATTGGCCCTATGGAATGAGGGGAGTGTCATTGCTTGGGGCTGGGTATTTCCCGGGAGATGTGTATTGGTTGAGGGGAAGGGATAGAAAGGGAATTTGTGTAACGGGTGGCTAGTGGTGTTGCATCCCCGAGGGGCGGGGAGAGAGAGCACCAGACTCTGATATCGAGATTCAAGATATGGGATTGAGCATGTATCGTAGATCAGTGCCAGGGAGGGGAAGACATAGTTGATCTTCCCCGGTTCTTACAATAAGGTTGAGGTGATGCAAGGAGTTTAAACAGTCTACCTGAACATTTCTATACGGTCTAGAATCAGAATCGAGCACGGCATTGGGAATGAGCTATAGAATTCTGTGAGGTATTCCTGTACACTTCGGAATATTTTCTGTTATCCGATGGGTAGGTGTGTTTAGTTTGAATACAAAAATGATAAAAAAGGGGGGCCTTTTGAGATATAAGACTACGGAAACATCCAGAATTCAGGGACAAAAAAGGAGAAAGGAGTTCAATCTTAGATTGATCGATCAATGATATATGAGGAAGCTTTTGTTCCAAGGTTATTCTTATGATTCTAATCCCTCGAGAGAATAATATGCTCCTCCTCTTTTAGTATATCGTTTTAGGACGACGTATGTAGAAGCTTTTGTTGTCCCTTAATCCTAAAGCTTGATACATCATTTTCTTTATTCTTGAAATAGAATACCTTAGCATTCATACGCATTATATCTTTAAACAAAGTGGATCTAGATGTTCTATCTATAACAACTATCAATTTTTCATCAATATATTTGACATATGTGTTCCCCTTCATAATAGATGGCCATCATATCTATCTTTACCTTTATGATACTGGCTACACAGATTTGATCTTCTCGTATCATCGTCGTATGAGGGCTGTTCTTCATCTCTCTCCCGTATGTTGAGCCTTGGTTGATGAGTGGCACTGGGGGCTCAATTGTATCAACTCTTTCATCACTTGAATGAAAGAGTAATCGATGCCTGGACTTCAAGGCCGAAACCTTATCCAATCCCTATCCAATCCCATCTCAATCGGTACTAGCGCCCAGATACAATCCAATTCCATTGGCTTTCGCCGTTCACAATGATATTTCATGGTGGTCTCGGTGTACAATTGTCGCAATTCAATTCGCCTCATACTCCAAGTAATCACCAAGAGCGACTCAATCGACAATTTGATTTATTGAATCCTTATACCAATTCTTCATGGCAATTCCAAGGATCAGTATTAGGAGAATCCAATAGTTCCAAAGCATCGGCGGGCAATATAATTGAGAACCGACAGAACCGACGGATTGGGTGTCCAACGGCTTCTTCCACCTCAGTATATAATACGGCGTTTTCCGGCGCATTAATTGCGACGATGCCTCCAAAACGAAATGCTTCAGGTGAACCAAATGGTTCCAATGCGCCGGTGGCCAAGCACATTAAATCGGAACAACACCCCGAAGAATTCTCAAATACTGTGAAGAAGAAGTTGTTGGCGTCAACGAGAACGGGTCAAGCTTGCGACCGTTGTAAGGTTAGTTAGCTAGTCAGTCCGTAGTGGGCAGTGGAAAGATGGGACGAACGATGATGTTGCGCGCTTTCGATATTGGCTCAATTGACTAATGATGATGATTGATTAATTATAGGTTCGTAAGATAAGATGCGATGGATTGGCAGGTGGCTGTTCGCCTTGTATTCAAAATCATAACGAATGTAAAACGACAGATAGAATCACAGGTCGTGCGACATCGCGGGGTTATGTCGAGGGAATTGAACAACAGAATCGAGATCTGCATCTTCGAATTCAGGAATTGGAGCATCGATTAATGCAAAGTGGTGCGGACATCAAACCTGCGAATGGTTATCAGGATTCAGCATCGGGACAATATGGGTATGGTCAATCGTCAAATGGTATGCAATCAACATGGAGTACAACGGGTCCAGCATATACCTCACCAACATCAACCACGGCAAACAACGGCCAGCAGCAAGAAACTAATATGTTTCGCGCACTGCCTGCGTATCGCGCTGGGTGTATGGGTGATAATTATCTCGGAGTGTCGCCTGGAAGTTCTCATCTGAGCGCAATCAAAGGGACGGCTTTGTCGATTTTGGGTATGGAGATTGATATTGCGGACTTTCGTTCAACAGATATAGACGAACCAGACCCTTCGATTTTCCATCCTCAACTATACAATAAATCGTACCAGTCGTTTCTTCAATCGGCCTGGAATGTAAATCCAAGGATTGAAAAGGTTGGATTGCCAGCACGTCCAGAGGCTATCATTTATGCGGAATGGTATTTTCGTGTTATTAACCCCTATTGTCCTCTACTCCATAGAGGTACTTTTATGAGATTGGTATGTGTACTGTAGTCGAGGTATAAGTTCCTTTGGCTAACAATATAGTTATCTCGCATGTATGATGATCCTACATTTCGCCCTACCACTGCTGAGAATGTCATTGTCCATATGCTCTTCGCCATCATGTTCTTTCAGTATGCGACCAGAAATTGGGAAGATGCGGAACAACAGGCAAGTTTGAATTCTCAATCAAATACGCATTATCATTATTGTCTTGGCATGTTTTATCAATTGGCATGCAGTCACACGGCACAAGATGTTCAAGCATTGGCTTTAATCTGCTTGCATCTTCGAAACTTTCCCAAACCCGGGGCCAGTTGGATGCTTGCAAGAATGGCAATGACCCTTGCGATTGAGCTTGGCCTTCACCGATCTATGAAGAGATGGGCACCTGAATCAAACACGCTTAGTGAACTCGATATCGAAATGCGCCGACGAACATTTTGGGTCATCCTTGCTGTCAATGTTACTCTGAGCGGCAAGCTTGGCCGTCCAATGCCCCTTCGAAATGAAGATTACGACGTTGAATGCCCATCACAAATTGATGATGATTACATTCCTGGCGAGGGCATAGATCCACCTAATCCAATAAAATGTAACCATGAGATTGGAATCCAAGGTTTCAAACTTATACCGTGTTATTTGGAGCTTTATTCAACAATCTATTCGATTTCTCGTCAACCGAGTACCTATATTGCGACTGTCAACAGATTGGAAGCAAAGATTCGGGCTTGGAAAGATGACTTACCCCCAGAGCTTGTGAATGGAGAGTTGGGACATAATGAACAAGAGGGACGAGTATTCGCTCTTTATGCTCAATCTTGGTCTCAAGAGTTTCGTCTTCTTCTTCGCCATCCATCAGTTTCTATGACCACAGATCCAGACTTCAATGCGGAGAGTATGAGAATTTGTGTAGAGTCTTCTCGGCAAATGTTAGGAGTTGTTCGCCAACTACAGAAGTACAAGAGTCTTGATACGACTTGGTACAATACTTCTGTTTTTGTTATGGCACTTACTACTACACTTTTTGCGCAATGGGAGAAACGAGGAGGGACTTCGTCAGCTGATTTGGCTGCATTGAGGGAAGAGATGGACATTTGGTTGGACATTATGGGTGACATAGGGTCGCTTCTTGGTACGTGTTATTTCATTGACTTGAAACTAGTTTATTAATTGATGCTAGGTTCCGGAACACGACTCAAGAAAGCTGTGCAAGTTGTCACCGATGGAACACTTGGATTGCTAAGTCGAAATTTACCTGCTAAGAATGACAAGAGCTACACTTCGAATAATAATGGTCAGGAAGAAGTTAGATCTTCGGAGCAAACATCGAACACCAATGGGACTAATGGTTACTCGGTGACTGCTCAAAACTATAATTATAATGAACCAACTTCTGCTACGGGGAGTGCGCCTGCACCTAACTACTCACCCTCCGAAGGTCAAATGTCTCATCAACAGACACCATATCCAGCTGCAACGCAATATTCACCATATCTTGAATCGACTTCTAATACTTCTGATTTGGCATATGCGCAACCAGAGAATCAAGGCTATGGAGGGTATTCAGCCCCAACTAGTGATTCTGTAGAAGCACCATTAATTGCTGCGCTAGCTGCTCAGGCAACTCAGGTTGCCCCTAACACATGGCACAGGAATTCGACTCAGGTCAACACAGCGCCAACACAAGCCTGGCAACATTGGACATCTACCGTCACAGGTAACCTTGAGCCACAGGAATGTTACTCGGCAAGTGCTCTAATGCAATTAGGAGGAAGGGATATGAGCAATGGTGACACAACACAATTGAATACATCGATAGGCGATGTTCAAAACGGAGGAGTTGGTGAGCCTGGACATTTGGGTGGCCAAGTTTCGGGAGCTATCGCTGGTGCCCCCACTTGGCCGCTTAATCTTTTTGATATTGGTGTGAACGGTTCAACGGGTTGATCTTCTTGGATTTTCTATTTGTGGCTATAATGTCTGTGCATATTATGATGGTGGATGGGGATAACTGGCGTATCAAGGATAGGGAAAGATAGAAAAGCATGGTGCAATGGACGGGCCGGTTGGCTTACTTGGAGTTAT